ATTCTGTCCTCTCTTCCCCATTCCCACGATAAGAAGAAGGAAGGATGTGAAGGGGAATTTCTTGAAGAACCCGGGGGGGGCGGGGGCGGGGGGGCTTCATCTCGGGGCGCAATGGAAGATTTGGAAAGCAGGGTTGGGAGGGGAGGCGAGCTTTGGAAGATGCCAGCCTGGGAGAAAGTGTAAGGCTAATAGCAATCTTGGCTTGTTGGATTACGTGGCAGTAACTGAAGATGCGATGTATCTGTATGGATCGGGGAGGGGGAAAAGTTCAGGCTATCGTTTGACGCCCCTTTTTCCCTTGCCAGAAAGAGGAGGATGCACCGAAGCTGGGAGAGATCGCAATGTTTCCCGCTAATGGCAACATCGATCTAATGTACTTCCCTTACTATGGCAAAAAAGTTCACGTGAGTATCGATTCTTGGCAAGGTGCCTGCTGGGAAATTCCCAGGTTTCTGCTCCATCCCTGGGACTTTGTGCACAGAGATGTTTTTTCGCCTGTTCCTTTTCCTCTCCTCCTTTTCAACCCAGTTGTTAATTCGTCGGTGCCACTTTGGGTGATTAAAAAAAATCTGGAGAAAGAAATTGGATTTTTTTTTTCTTCTAGCGTTTTCCCCACAGCTGCAAGGTCTGCTTTTTTTTCCGGATCAACCGAATGTCGATCCATTGGTGGCGACAGGAATTGACCAACCGGCTTGTTGCCCGAGCCTGACATTGTGGGTTAGAGGGAATGACTGGCCGGCTTTCATCCCTAAAGTGGGATTCAAAGTCACCGTCTCCTGCTTTCTAGCCTGGAGCTTTAACCACTAGACCAGTGTTTCTCAACCTTGGCCGCTTGAAGCTGGCTGGGGAATTCGGGGAGTTGAAGTCCACCCATCTTCAAGCGGCCAAGGTTGAGAAACACTGCGCGAGACCAAACTGGCTCTCTAGAGAAAGAGATTGGATGAGGCACCAGCTTGGTCAAAAGGTTTTGAGTGGACGGAGAGAAGGGCTGTTTCCAATCTTGTTAACATCAAAACTCCTTCAGAGGCACGAAACCATCCTCTTGAGCGTCCCAGGGCCAACCTAGGCATCGTTCAAGTGAACGCGTCAACCCAGGGTAAGGGATGGGTGCAGGACAAAGTTTCATGCAGAGAAGAAGAAAAACCCTAAGCCTTGAAGTCCTTGCTTCTAAATGTGCAAAGGAAACAAGAAGAATGTGTGTTTTCAAAGGCCTCTAGACCTTCTGTACATACGGTAGACTTTTTGGAGCCTCTCGGTGAATAGCAAAAGCAGTGAAGGGCGGTCTGTGCGTGGCAACGTCTCCACGATTGGTGGGGTCTTTGTGAGGTTGAGCTGAACCTAGTTTCCTCTTCTTCCTCTCCTCTCCTCCCTGCATCTCAGGTGAACTACACGCAGCCCGTGGTGGCCGTCAAGTTTCTGAACCTCACCTTCAACTATGACCACCACGTAGAGTGCAAGATGAACGCCGCCAACATCGCTGCGAATGACGAGCGGGACAAGTTCGCCGGGCGCGTGGCTTTCAAAATCCGGGTCAACAAAGACTGATGCCTGCGTTGTCCCTCCTCCTCCATCTCCTGGACCCTCCACCCTCCGAACCGGATCCTTCCCGGTGGCTCTTTGCAACCCAACAGAGAGCTCAGAACAACTGCCAGGTCGAGGCTGACGGACCCGGGGGGTGATGGATTTGGGGGCTCCCTTGGCCTCTGCTGCTCATCTGTCTCACTAACCTTTGCCGTTAGACAATCCCACCTCCCTTGACCCTACACGTACAGCTTTGCTCCCACCTGTCCATCCGTTTTCTCCATAGCGTCCCCATTACCTGGAGACCCCTGGATTGGTTCTAACCTCACAGCTGTGTATTGCAAGGGGAAGCTCAGAGTTTAGGCCCCTCCCCGCCCTCCCCGGAGATGTTTCCTAATATAATAATAAATGTATATAGATATTTTTTTATATATATATAAAAGTATATATTAAAAATTAAGGTACCACGGAATCTCTGTATTTTCCTGCTCTGCCTGCACGGATGGTGGCTTTCGGTCTACCCCAGGCTGAAGGGGGGGTAGGCAGGTTAACTGGTTGGGGGGCATCTTGTATGCCTTGCCCCAAGCTTGTGCCCATCGTGGCATGGAAGGCACCCTGTGCGTTGATGGGGATGGCCCCCTCCTCTGAGAGTCGGCCCCACTGACCACAGTAGGACGCACGTCTGGGTAGACGCTGCCCAGTTTACGTAGCCCTAAATTGGCCAGTTTGACTCACTGGGCGAAGGTGCAGGGTGATGAGGATGATTCTTCTTGTCCACTCAAGAAGCAAAATGGCAGGAAGCTGGCTTGGCCTAAAATCCAAAACGGAGGGCAAAGAGTGACAAATGGCTGGGGGAACCCAAAGGGGTCTCTTTTCTTCCTTGGCTCCCACACAGCAACGGCTTGTCAAAGCAGCGGCTTGTGGGCACGGCAGACGTGTATGGTGGCCCCGGCGTGGTCTCCTTGCAAAAATAAATTGCCATGGCGTCTGTCAATGCGGTTTGTTGGTCTTAATTTCTAACCTCGCATTATCGCTTTCCCTTTTTTTCTACCTAGGACCTACGCAGAAGGTTTGTTCATTAGTGTACAGCTGTTTTAATCTGTTGTAATAGTGGCACCTTACACTAAGATAATATAAATGAAACCATTGTTTCCACCATAACCACGGGGGGAATTGTTGACTGAACTAATGATAATCTCTTTTTAGCCAACGCTGATTAATTGTTGGAGATCTTCGGTTTCTCTAGATGCTTCTCCGCAAGATCTGCTCTCTACTTTATATTTGTTGAGCAAAAGAACATGTGTTTGGGGGGGGGGGAAAGCAATGGAAGTTTTTAAGCTTTCTTTGCTTTTTATTTTTATTGTAATATTAAATTTCGTCCCTTTACAGTTTAAGGGTGCACCTTTGAAGAACTTGTATGTATGAATGGCAGCCATAACTTAAAACTCCTCAGCTTTTTAACTTTCTTGATTTTTGTTTCTGGTTTTGGTTTTTATTTGCAGAATTATTTAATTGCCTGTATCAGATTTACTGTGAAAGAAGAGAAATAAAACTTAAAAATTCAACTTCCAAATAATGTTGTTGTGTTTTTTAGTGCCTAAACTTGTGCAGGGGAACACTAACGGTATCTTGTGGAACCCCAGTTCTAACGAAATGCAAAATAGAATATACATTAATAATCTTGATTTTATGGAAGCATTCAGACATTCTAGCTGAAGCGGAGAGACACAGAGAGCTTGTGATCCTGGCTAAAACACTGTTATAGCCTGAGCTTATCATGACTTCTAAGTCTCTGGTACACAATTTTCACGGCAATTACTAACAATGGCAGATGTGAAAAATCTCTGGCCACCCCAGATGTTGGATGACCATTTCCAGCATCTGCCCCCACTGGCCAAGTTGGCTGAGGGTCCTAGAAGTTTCAGCAGCACCTGGAGGGTCACAGGACCCTCATACTTCCCCCCCCTTTTGCAACAAGGTGCCCTCCATCGGCATGGTCAGGTTTATCCATGCGATATCCACATTGCTGATGCTTGCTGTAGAGGCTGTGGGATTTGCCAGTTTTTCTTCATTTAAACCCGTTTTTCTCAACCTCAGCAACTTTAAGATGTGTGGACTTCAACTCCCAGAATTCCCCAGCC